GGCATATTTCCATGCTTTGAATTTCACAACTTCCATTCGGAGACTTCAAAATTGAACTCTTTGGTTGGACGATGAATGGGTGAGGGTTGGGGCATACACCCATCCATCTTTCCCCCTATCATTGCACTTTTGCTATGATTGTGTTTGAATAACTTGGTCTGAACTTTTGAAAATAGGCAATGGAAACTTGGTCTGAACTTGGTCACATAGGTGTAAAACCTCTCAATCTGTGATTTATTTACTAAATCAAATATTTTATCTATTTATATATATTTCACTTTAAATTCAATATTGTCGGTATATAAGTGTTTAAAACGTCGATGGCCTTACCTAACCCAAAAAAAGTGTCAACTAACATTCTAAAACTATATTCTCTCTGTTTCCAAAATAATTTGTTCCTTTTTTTATTTTTTAAAATTAAAGATAAAAAATAATATTCATATTTTTTTATAATATTCTTAAAAAAAAGAAATTTTTTTTATAATTGAATAATTAATTAAAATAAACAAATAATAATATGATTAAATTAAGAAAAAATGTGTAGATGTTTTAAAAATAAAAAAATAACAATTAATTTAGCATAAATTTAAAATTAAAAAATAACAATTATTTTGAAATAAAAAGATTACGTGACATTTGACCCATGGAGAAGAGCTAAGTTTTGTTTAGTGACTGTAGGTGAAGGAAATGCATTGCTTTGAAACCATTCCATTCTTTGAATCTAAGCACTTCATCCATTTTCTAAAATGCCATTCTTTAGGCAGCTAGCCAGAATATATGCCCAAAATTAGTCTACTCTGTTGCTGTGAAATGCTGGGGAAGAATAGAGGAACAGAGCACTCTGTTTAATATATTTAGAAAAGAAATGACAAACATAGAGGTGTATTATTATAAATAGTGTTCTCATTTTTAATTTAATTTAAAAGTTAGTTGTTAATTTTTTTTTATGTACAGTTGCTATGTCATAATCACTAATCAGATTGGAAATTTATTTTACTGAGAAAGATTCTTTTCATTATGAAAAAAAAAAAACCTGGATTAGCATTAGGACTGAGCCCAAATTGATTTGGGCTATGTTTTGCAGGTAGAATGTGGTTTAGGGCCTTCAACCGTTGATATGGCTGCTTCAGCAGGAGCAAACTGCATTGTTGCGGGGACCTCAGTGTTTGGAGCCCATCAGCCTGCTGAAGCTATATCACCTTTTGGGAAAGGGTGTTGTCGAAGCCAGAAAAACTGCTAATCTTGTTTCAGGGAAGGTACATTAATACTGTTGGATGTGATGTACATATTTCAATAAAAATAAAGAATAATTCAGGAAAAAAAACAATTTTAATGTAATTTACCTAAAATAAATAATAATTCAGGAAATAGAAAAAAAAACGGAGAAAAGATTGAAGTCCATATATTGTGAGCTTATGTATTGATCATGAATATATATATGGTTAATTATAGAGATCACTAAAAAACCAATTCAAAAATGATATTTTATTGAAGCAACAGAGCAAAGTATACAACATCAATCGAAAGAGTACAAGCAAAAGAAGAGGAACATATTAGAGCAATATCCAGGCAATACCTTGACAAATCTAAAACCTCGACTCTCCTACTTATAGAAGACTTGCATGATGGTGAAAACCAAGACGATGGCGGCAAAAATTACAGACACGATAGCGCATGGCTTCGTCAAATAGTTGTCAATGAAAGAAACTCGCCATTGTCGCGAACATTTCCTGCAATAACTGTTTATTTCCTTACGAAGATCAGCATAATAGAACTTATCCATTTGATACCCACTGCGAAGTCTCTTTAAGAGGTCAACCGCCTCCTTATTGCTCAACCAGTTACTAAAAATCCCAGATGTGCATAGTAAATCCACATCCTCAGCACTGTCCACCAGGTAATCTAGGAGCACTGTGTAGTTTATTATCACACTAGGAGCGACCCAAGCCCACCAAACCCGAGGGCTACACATCTGGAAGCCACTGAGGTTTCGAAATATTGCTTCCGTAGCTGGATGAATCAGCAAAGATGGGATTTCAAGTTTACCGTCGTTCTTGTCGAATCTTACATCCAGTATGCTTCTTCTTGCAACTGTTTTAAATTTGACTCCTGCCTCCCTAAGTCTAGTGGCAGAAGGAATAGATTGCGACTGCTTCGACTGCTGTGTTTTTCTCTCTTTTGCTGAGGAACACAAATAACGTCCCCAATTAATCCTGGATTGCGACTGCTTCGGCTGCTGTTTTTCTCTCTCTAATTTTGCTGAGGAACTCAAATAACGTACCGTAAGATCAATGATATGAACGATACTTGAGCTGCTGTTAAGAAGCTCATTCGATATCAGATATTTGTCATCTGATGAGAATGCGGAGTGGATGAATGTGATAGCAAGTTCAACCAAAGTCATTTTGCTCTCGGGGCCTCTGGTCTTGTCAAACAAGAGCTC